GTCACGCTTCTCCGGCTCCTTGGGAGTGTCACGCTTCTCCGGCTCCTGCGGGTTGCCAACATGCTGATTAAAAGAGCTGTATATATATACATATATATATATATGTGTGTGTAAGAAACCGTTGAGATGTCATTGGAAGGAACCAAGCCCCGGTAACCGCCTACGGTGTATGTTTTATATATTATATTTGATATATATATATATATGCTATAATTTGGAGAGAGAGAGAGAGTAGCAGCGATAGCAAAAAGGCAGAGGCTATATATAAGCAAGGCTTCTTGTACTTGAGAGATTTGTTTTCATGTTGTGTTTTCATGTTTTGTTTTAGTATATTTACACCCACCCACACTGCAAGTGAACACCCGCTCCTCCGTTTTCGCTGGGCCATTGGGTTCTTGTGCTGAAGGCTCCACTGCAGCAACCTCCGGCGCTGCCTCGGCAGCAGCAGGACAGACAGCGGTCTTCGTAGTAGCCTCACCCTTGGCAGCCTTCCCTGACGCTGCCACATACTCAGCACATCGCTCGCTCGATGTCAACCCAGGAGAAGGGGCTGGAGGAGGTGATTTAGCAGCATGTGTTGTTCGGGCTGCCTCCTCTTCTCCAAGACTCATTGGGACGGTATCCAAAATATCCACAGTCGAACCAGCGCCAGCGCCTGACAGATCTTGACTTGAGAGGATTTTGACAATTAAGTTGTATATATATATATACATATACATTTTAAAAAAAAATATATATATATATATTTGACGAGAGAGAGACTTGTTGCACAGACCACTACTGTGTCGCCGGTGATTATATATATATATATATGACGTGATGAAACTGGTCAGAGTTGATGGGTGCCAGAAGCGTGGTCACAAGACATGTTTTTGGGTTCAGGGTTTACACGTTGACCCACATCTATATAGTCTTTGGACATCAATTCAACACATGTTTGTTCCTTCCCTGTCGATCATCCCCACCTGTGCTCGGTGGCTGGTCAGTGGAAGGTGCTTCCGCCAAGGCCTTCACATTGTGCTTTGCCTTCAACCTTGGACATATATATATATATATATATATACGCGGTGAAGCAGCCAATCTTCTTCTTATATGCTGTGTCGTCTCTTGCGAGTGTATTTGTATGCATGAATTAATATAGGCAGTATACTAGCCTGTCCCGGTTTGGACCTCACAAGTTCTCTAAGGCCTGAGCTCCCGAAGCTCTGCGAGTCTTTTCTGGATTGCCGCCCTCCGTGCTTCCACGTCCATCTCACCTCACGGGTTCCCACCAAGGCCAAACCCTTCAAGAATAAATATATATATATATAGGGAACAAACAAAATGTACAATTTTGAATTTAAATGTTGATTGTGTTTTCTCGCTGTATATTATGTGTATATATATATATTTATTTATCTGTGTATGAAAAGGAATTGGCACAACTCTCCCAACATGAAGAGACCAAAACAGTATTTTATAGACCGCCGCCTCCATTTCCTGCAGGAGCCCCGGACAATGCTGGCTTTGGTGGCTCATGAGGAGCAACCGCTGGGAGTGGCACTGGGGTCCGAGGTTGGCTATCATCCACATCCACAATCTCTTTGCCCCTGTGTTCTGGGATCAGAGTGGGTTCGACAACCTCAGGGGTTTTAAAGTCTGCGGGTTTCCCATTCTCTCCGGAATCTGTCAGTGGGATATCTGAACCCACGATCTCACCATCCCCCACGATCTCGATGTCAGAGTCCGAAGATGAAGAGGACGATGAATCATATGCATCAGGATCTGGACCTCCAGTCTCCTAAGACACGCAATTCGATCAGCATTGTATAATTGGACACTGACTTCTCGAGTTTCTTTAGGCACAGCATCATAAGAAAGGAAGTTGCCTGCACACAGCACGCAGCATGTGCATGCACTCTTGTAAACTATATATATTACATGTGTTTGCCATTTATATGCATTGCGCTGTATAAAGTGATTGAGTCGATTGGGTTAAACATTCGGATCCAACAAACATTCGGTGACAAGAAAATGATGGCGGTTTGGTCTCAACACATTGGAGAGCGCTTGGACATCCCACTGCGTTCTTAGCGTCAGCTTCTTTCTGGGCTCGGAGACGTTCGCGTTTTTCACGCTTCTCGGCCAGCTCCCTGTTGATCTTGTCTGCCACGTCCTGCACGTCCCCACCGGTGAGGTGGTTGGGTATAAGTCTGATCGCGATATAATATTTTGTTCACCCACTCACTGCTATTTACAGTGCATACAGGTTTCAGCAGGTCGGGGTTGGATAGATGGGCAAGCTTTGAAAAGAACATCCAACAATCTCCTGAAGCTCTGGCCTCAAGATCAGGACCAACTCTTGGAACTTGGAAGCCTCACTCACGCGATTTAATTGCAAGGGATTGAAGAAGGCTTGCGCTCTCTCTCTCTCTCTATACTATATATACAGCGCAAAGAACTTATAGGCTGCGCGCCCACTCACAAATTACAACGCCAACGTTTCCAGAAGAGTTGACAATTCAGCCTATATAAAGATAGTTTTGTGCAGAGCAAATGTGTGTAAAACATGTTTGCTGCTAAGGGACCGTGGATGGTTTGGAGATCCTAGCCTTGAGCTTCACTAACCCTAAGAACTTGCGAACCATCCAACTGTCGTGGACGACCTGCGGGTCATCGGAGCTTTTGTTGATGGAACAAGCTTTGTAAAGGTTCGCCAGTTCATCACGCAAAGCGTAGACGCCCGGCTGTGGAGCTCCTGGAGTTTCTACCATCCGCCGCAATAGGGGGACCAACAGCGCATGGACGTGATGCACGCAGGCAGATTTGATGGACTCCTTCACCTCCTCAGGGAAAAGGACCTGGTCATTCTGCAGCTCGTGTCTGATCGCCTTCACTGTTTCCCACTCCTCGGAAACCTTGTCAATATCGAGCTTGGCCTTACCGCCATCTCCTTCCAGACTGGAAGCGGACATGGTTCAACTGGTAGCAAATCTCGAAAAGCCACACAAAAGTCCAGACCCACCCGCACTATGGGCCAAATTGCTGCACGCAGTGCTTTTTTCACATCAAACGGTCGCATATATATATATATATATGTGCGGGTGCACCTCTTTCAATGAAGAGGTGTTCTCTCCATAATATTAGGATATATAATATACAATCATGGCATGTGTGTATACAACATCCCTATATATATTGCATCCCTATTGATGTGCATGCCATCCATATGCAGTGCCAACCACAGAAGCCCTTTGCAGGAGGCAAACTTGGCACGCCTTGTTTGGCATCGATGCTGGAAAAACCATTGCGACGCCGCGCTGAGTGGTGGGGCGGTGACGATACAATACTATATATAGTTGAGCTCCATGCACCCAAACTATATATTGAGAGCCAAAATGCATTGAGGCTCCCCCAAATACATCCCGCCTTGTATAGGGCAGCCTTTGAAAACACAACAACTGCATATACAAATATATACTGGTGTTGCTTATTTATATATCCACACTTCATGCAAGTATGTAAGATTACATCATCCAATTGGATCGTTATATGTCTGCATTTTGTGATGATTGCTGTACATTGTGTGAAATCTGAGCGCTGCCCTCCAAGAGCCAGTGAGCAATGGCACCTCAAAGATACTGCGGGGCGGACAGGAACCACCACAGGAACGCATATATATATGCATATATAGCAGGTTTTGAGAAAAGTCGAGTTTTTTGGGAGAAAGTCGAGTTTTTCACTTATGGAAGATGGAAAGACGAACTATTCATCGGCAACCTACAAATTGTTAGGTTTTTGAAGCTGATGGTTAAGGTGTTATTTTTTTGGGGGGGTGATTCAGAACAACTCTTCAGTTCTGGTCCTGGAGTTCCAGGAACTGGACCGGTCTTGGGGTGTCAATGACCAGCTAGTGTAGTGTACGGCGTTGTTAAATATAGAACCTGCTCCATGTAACGTATGGCATTTATTGGCATTGGGCTGGGGTAGTTTCAGATTTCAGGGGTCAAGGTGGGCGCAAAAAAAGGCGTATACGAATCATTTTTAGTCCTTGGGTTTGTCCTTTTACCTCGCAAAATGGGTATACAGTGTCTGTGCCATTACCTGTAACAGTCGGCAAGCAATGATCTTATTTTAGAAAGGCCTTCACTAACCATCATCATCCACCGTTACTGGTAATGGGTAGCCCAAAATATTCCATACATGGAGTCACATGACTGCGTGACCTGCACAGCACTTGGGTCCGTTCTGGTGTCGTGCCCAAGGATTTCTCGCAGAAGGATGGCGGCTGTGATATCAGGCGGCTTGGTGGCGGCTTGCGAGTAAGCGCGGCTTACGAGACATTTGTGGATGGCAGAGTGATGAGCTGTTTTCCAGACACCTACTGCATGGAATATTAACCTACATTGACCCTTGAAACCGCTCTAATGTTTGTAAATGTGTCATATCCCAGACACTCCATGTATGGCATATTTACCTACATTGGGGTGGTTTGGGGGGTCAATGTAGGCATATATGGCATACATGGAGTGTCTGGGTATACACGGAGTGTTTGGGTTGTATTCAGCGGTGCAGCAGTTCCACTCACCCGGCGCCCATACTGCGGAGGTTCCCTGCAGGCGCGACCTTCGAAGCCGTGGAGCAGTTTGAATGGTGGGGCTGGGGCGCTGGATCTGGCAGCCCCGTGGGCTCTGGCCTCCAGCTGCTTGGCGAGGCTCCTTTTCATGCGTACTGGTGGGAGCCCTGAAAGGCGATATGATCTAATATCCCAAAGTTGATCCAAACAGATTGAAGTCAGCCAAATGCTTTTTTCAGGGCGCGGAGCTGTGGTGTTTCGGAAGTCAGGGCCGATGGACTACGATGCGCTGAAATTGTTCAGCTCACGAAAGAAGGTGCCAGCCTTCGAAAACATTGGGACGCGCACCTGGCAGTTTTGAGGAGTCATTTGCCTTCCGTTTCCGCGGCCGAACCCGGCCGGGCGACTCCTCCGTGGGGGGTGGGTTTTGGGGGGCGTACTCCTCCGTTTCCGCTGCCTTCACGCCGAGGAAGCATGACTCGGAAACGCGGTGCTATTTGAAGACCTTCAAGTGCCTTGGAGACGCGTTGGGTCCCGACCCGCCACCGGACGGACGTCGACGGGACGCTTGCGGAAAAAAGAGGAGACCTGGACATGGGAGCATCCTGGACATGGGAGCTTCTGTTTGGAGATCGATAGTAGTCCAGCCAGCACATTCATTGGGTGCTACATTATACCTATACATTGACCCTGAATCAAACCACCCCAACTGATTGGTAAATAGCGCAGAGATACAGTCTTTAAGATCTCAACTTGAGTCCAAATACCACCTGAGAGGATACTTGAAGCTTCAAAAGGGTAGCTCCTTCTTCAAGAAGGTGTTGAACTTTGTTTTTATCCTTTTGGATCACTTCAGTGGGATGAAAACCTTTGAGCAGTGTTGGACGCGTAAGCGTGTGTTTCTTTGCGAAAAAGGTCCGCGATGACGCCGAAGCTGTCCATGCTTCGATTCTCGAGCCCCGCAGCCCGGGAGTGGAGGTGAGAGGTTCGGTTAGATGAGCTGAGAGAATAGGACGGAGACCCAGAAGAAGATCTGGAATATCATGCGGACTCTTGAATCAATATATGCATGCATACTATATAATACAATAAAGTAATCAATCATTCATCAAGATCCAAGTCATGAAGCTCCGAACCGAGCCGTGGCCAAAGGGCCAAACGTGGCTTAGGACTCCGGCACGGCCAAAGAAGCCTGAGCTCTCTGCACAGTTGCACCCGAAGTACCAATCGCTGATCCGCGAGCGCCTGGGATGGTTTCCCAAAACGGTTTTCGTGGCTCAGGTATTGGACTGCGCGTCTTGCGCAGTCCACCCAAGAGAGGGTTGGGAGTTGGGGTGATGAATGTGACGAACCAGTGATGAATGTGATGATCAAAGCATAGCTCCCGGGTTTTTTGAAAGGTTCGCCTTTTCATCCCGTGTCCAATGGATGTTGGGCAGGCAATGACTACCGATGAACGTCATTTGTAAGGAATAGTTTGGGAAAATTGTTGCAAGTCTCGACATATTAAGTTCAACTTGCGATTCAAGAGTGCTTGAGGGCGGCCAGGATGCTCAACCCTTCAACAAGTGGCGCTTGCGCAAGTCTGTCCGCGGACCTTGGAAGTTAGAATGAACCCAGACACTCCATGTGGTTTCATATGAATTACCTGTGGTAGGATGTTGGTCAATGTAGGTACCCTCCGACGAACACATCACACGGAAACTGAGCAAAGCATGGCCTTTGGGAAGACGATGTTACTCTACAAACAGGAAGATGGTCCCCTCTTCCATGTGACGTTCTTGTCAGAGTGTATATAAATCTTCACATCCAGTGCTTGGGTTCTAGGGCTAGGGCATCACCTTGCTCTCGTGAACTCGCTGAGGTATCCCTTCCAACCAGTGCGGAACGAGCGGGGGAAATTTGTGACCCGGCACTGGACAGATCCAATTCCACCTTCGAGTCTACCCTGTCATTACCTACTCTCCGAGTCGTTTACAAGGAAGTGGAGAACCACCTGTTTGTGGAGACAAGTGCTCTTCCAGGGACGTGTTTTGCACTTCCGGCCATGATTATTTTAGGGAGTGTATTTGTCTTGTTTGTCTTGTCTTTGTGGATATCCAGTTAGATTGATCCAGGAGTGAAACAGGGGGAACTGTTCCTGAGCAACTGCGCAACGTAGCGACGTAGAGTAATTATATGTAATGAAGTGTGCTTTCTCACCATTTATAGGTCCAAGAGCATAATGACGGTTCTTGCTTTCATCAACTGTCCCCACTAGGTGATGTGAATGGTGGTGGATTTTGACCCACAGTTTTTGAACCCGAAGTGGGTGAGGTTCGATCTTCAGGCCGCCGGATGGCGGCCCGTGCAACACAGGAGGTTGTCTTTGTTGTTTCGGATTCAAGTTTGGAAGTCGGGGTGATGCATTCTTGATGCTAGCTGGGCAAGGCCAGGCGCCCGTTCCTTTCATCCCCGGGTGCTTTTCAGGTCGCGACTAGACACTGACCTTAAACTCTGTCAAAGGTCACTTATATAAGGACTCCAAAAAGGTCAGGTACTGAAGAAGCTGGTTGTTGATGTAGGAGTGGCAATGAAATCACATAGAGGCTGGTGATCTGGGCCCAGGCGGCTGCAGAACCCTGAGAAGTCAGCGCAAGAAGCTTGGGGAGTCAACGAAGAGTCTGAGATGGCGGTGACAACAGAGGTTGAAGGACCCTAAAGACTTTTTCTTGTGCTGTTGGCCAAGGTGAATGTGATCCTGGTGCGGTCTCCCTTCCGGAGCTCTCATCAGGAGCCGCCTGGCAAGCCATCCGGAACCGGATGTCGGATGCCCAAGGATGCCCAAGGATGCCCAAAGCCATACGTGTGAACTGTCCTGTTTCATCCTGTCTTCTGGTTCTGGTTCTGGTTCCGGCTGGTAACGTCACACAAATGTTCGTAACGTCACCAGAGCCCCGGAGCGTCCGAGAACTTCATTGGTTTTGTGTGTCATTCCCGAACGTTCGCGCCACCCTCCAAACTGGATCCTCCCCATTGCGCATGATTGGAGCTTAGCAACTGGGTGACAAATGCTGAGGCAGCTTTACGAGAAGTTCAAGGATGAAGCTTGGATGCCATGGAGCCATGAATGGAGCCATGTGCTTTCATCAATCATGACTGCTACAAATACACGTTTGGACCCTGAGTGATCTCTATTGATCGTTGATGTCTACCAAGAATTACCAAGAGAGATCAAGAGAGGTTGAACAGCCCTATAGCCTATAGCCCATCCCATATGTACCACTACAGGGTCCTATATGGTCTCTCAACCTCTTTTGGTATATGTGTAGTATGTGTGTATGTGTGTGTGTGACATAATGCATGACTTTTCCTATATTAAATGAGAGAAAAAATATCTAGCATGTTTTGGTGCGTTTGGGGAACCTTGTACCCCCTGCAGCACTTTGAACTACCAAAGACAGTTGTTGGATAAAACTGTCAAACAACAATTTGTGCCAAGTGTTTCATGCGGTTTAAACCCTTGCATTTGCTGGTTTGTCCTGGTTGGTCCTAGCTGCCAGCACTTGTCCACCATCAACAAATACATACACAAAAAAAACACACACCAATCTTGGCCTGAACTCAATCCCTGAGGAAATCCTCTTCCTGGGCATCAGTAGCTGGGAGGATTATCCACTTCCAGCGCCGAATCCCTTTTCTTCCTCCTTCCCGCCGCTCGGATGTATTCGGTTCCCGCGTCGCCACGGTTCCCACGCCGTACGGAGCGAAGAAGGCCGAAAGGAACGGAGCGAAGAAGGGCGCTTTGAAAGAAGACATGGTTGAAGGCCTTACAGAGAAGGAATTCTGTCACACTGTCACTGTCATATAGCTATAGCCTTAATGAAGGGCTAGTTTGTGTATCAGATGAAAGGCTCCCACGAAACACTCCCAGAATCTTCCAAACCCAACCCACCCCATGTTCTATATATAAAGAGCATGTCTCCATCCCACGATCGCAGCGTTCTCGACATTTTTCGCGGCCACGAATTGGTACCGCCTGAGGCGGGAGAAGTATTTAGGCCTCTTCCCCGGCTTCTTATACATGCATCGAGATGCCGAGCCTCGTCGCTGGATGGAGGTGAGGATGGCCCGTCTCCAGAGAGAAAGTGAAACCTTGGAAGCCGAACCGGTTCGACCAACACAAAAAGAAACGGTGGCACCTGGTTTTGCAGTGTAAAACGTTTGCTAGCAACAAGGTCCATAAAGGTCCTAAAAGGATGGAATCCTCTTCATGAGGTTGTCACACACCCGTTGTCCAAAACAACCGGAAGCTGGACTCCCACCAGCTTCGGGCGCCGGCTCCCACCAGCCCCGAATAGCCGGAGGTCCACCGAATCGGAGAGGAGACCCCAAGACAGGAAGCTCCTGAAAACTCTACGGAGTGGCAAAACACGATAGATCAGGTATGATAGATCAGGATCCCCATTAAAATATCCTGAACCGAAATCAGGGTATCATATGGTATCATGGGATAGCTAATTCAGGTGGGTGTTATAAATCTGTAAAAGGTCCACCCCCCCATTTTGTAGAGACAAATCAGTGGGTGTCTCATTGACAACTGATTCTGTAGCATGTTTTATCCTGGCAAGATATATACATTGAGTGCATATTCTAGAGATTTGAGGGTGACTCCAGGGATTTTGTAGATACCAAGAATGTATGTGAATGTATAGTAGGTGAGATTTTGTAGAGTTCTTTTGCTATTTGCAATGACCACAGCCCATGGACTCACTCATGATTTTGTACTAACACTGAATTCATGATTTTGTAAAAGCTCGTTTGCTTTCTACATTGCGCCCAATTTTGGCTGACTGATTTTGTAGAGCATCTAAGCATCTTGCTTCATGGTCTTCCCACAATACCCTTGAATCCACTTACTTGATCCATTTTGTAGAGAGGATCTCTTGATACATAATTCTGGAACCGCTGGGCACGTTTGGTGTTCATTACATTCCCCAAAATGGGTTTATGGAAAAGCATTGTGTAGAGAACATGTAGGCCAGCCATGCCATTTTGTAGTGGAAATGCAGGTACGTCCAATTGTCTAGAGACAGATTTCTACAAAAAGCAACTCCCACCATGACCATGCCAATTTAAACGTGGATAGATCAGGTATGATAGATCAGGTATGATAGATCAGGGTATATAGTATGTGGTTTCAGTGATGTTTGAATCTTCAACCTTCATATGGTTCAAGTGAGTTGACACCACCAACTAGTGAAGTCTTTGGACTTCTGTCTGGGGGGATCCAGACCGACCGTACGATGCCGCACGGATGTCGACGTAAAACTCGTGAACGGCGACGGATGTCGAGGACGAAAGCTGGGCATGACCAGCCCTAATGTTGACCTTTGATTAATAAAGATCCCCACAATAATGACTTTGTTTTTTCCTGCACTGATTAATAAAGGCCCCCAGAATAATGTCTTTTTTTTTTGGAGGGATAGTTTTTTTGGTGATTTGTTCATTGTTATATATTGTTATTTTTACTCTCTGGCTTACTGATTTTTTAGATCTTTGGATGCAGATTTCCAGTGGCAGCAAAAGATTTTTTGGGATTTTGAAGGTCTTTGGATGCAGATTTCCTTTAGGAATTGCAGATTTCCATTGAGATTTTGTGGATGTTGAAGGTCTGTGGATGCAGATTTCCTTTAGGAATTGGAGATTTCCATTGAGATTTTGTGGATTTTGAAGCATAAGCTCTTTAGTTTTGAAGCTTTCCAAAAGTTTCCAAAAGTCAGTG